TAATGATCTCAAAATTACAGTATAAAAAATAATGATATTATAGAATTAATACAGACATGAAGAGAGAGATGGGTGAAGGCAATCGTCATTTTTAAATTTTTAAAATTATCATATATTTAATTTTTTTTATATTTTTTATTAAAAATCTATTTTCACCTTTAAAATTTTAGAAATTTATCTCCCTTAAATTTTAGAAATTAACTCTCCCAATATAAAATTATAGGTCTGAATAAAAATATATATTCAATACTAAAATGTCATAACACAAGGAGGATGACTACATTACTACTAGTGAATAATTTCTTCCAAAACTTTTTATCCTATCTAAGCTTTGATTTACATTAGGGAAGAAGGGGTATGATTAGGAAATAGTAAAATTCGATTCGAAAAAAATCGACTCTGATTAGGGGTATCAAAGCTCGCTAGGGAGTGAAGATAACAGGGACATCCTCATCTCCATCACCTTCTTGTGAGAATTGGAATGCAAATAGCTCACAAATGTAGGGCTTTTGGCTGGCCTATACTCTGGCAGCAACCTCCCTGATTTGTACCTCACCCCACATGCATTACATAGTGTCTTTGGCCCCAATGGTCCGGCTCTCCACTGTGGTGTCCTTTGTGCTAAGCAATGGCTACACCTCCTTGGCTGCTGCTGCGTCAGCACCACCCTCCCCCGCCTTCTCTTCCTCCACCGTGCCGCTGCTACTGTTGTTGTCATCTTCCTTCTTGGGCACAATGAGTTCACTGTCGGCTAACCAGCATGATTGTTGAAGCAAAAGAGGGTCGGAGTTGGCCAGTTTGAGGCTATAAGACCAGCTGGAAAATGGGTTGTTTTTGGTTTTGGAAACCCTCCTTCTCTTGCTCCTTGCCTTGCCCGGAACAACGAATTTCTGCAACGGCGGTGGGGTAATCTGGTGGGGTTTCTTTCCAGATTTTCCAGTTGCAGATTTGGTTTCAACATTTGAAGGTGGGATACAGTTTCCGGTGCTTGAGAAACAGTCTTCCACGAATATAGATAACCATTCCAAGCTCACATCAACTTCCTGCAAAGCACAAAGTTAGAGACTTTGAACCGTGACGCCATGCAAAGAGGGAAAGGAACTAACCGTGTTTAGAGTAGGGAAAAGGTCATCAAGAGAGGCTGTTGGAGCTTCATACTCACCGGAGACTGTCATATTCCTGAGAAAATCCATGTCCGAAACAGAAAAACCAAGAGAAAATTTCTTTGTACCGTGTTGTTGAGCTTCAAGAGAAAGAAAGTTAAAGGTGGGAACTTGAAAATGAAAACACCATTATGAAGAAGAAGTTGGCTTAAGAAGTACGGGGTTTTAGGCACAGCTGTATTCAATATTGTTGCCCCCTCTTTATGGCCTAGTCTTCTGTCGGCAGATAAAGCTATGGAACACAGTCAAATTTCAAAACTTTACTCAATCATCATGCAATAAAAAAAAAAAGAAATTTCCCAAATCTCTTATTTTTACTGCTTAAAATATACATGTTAACTAATATGGGGTCTTAATGCAACTGTGGACAAGTTTTTAACATTTTATATCAGTGGGGTTATAAATCCAAGGCTTGCTTGGACTCAGAAGCCTGTTCTGGTTATAAAATAAAATGACCCAAAAGTCCAAAATTTAGAAAAAGAAGAAGATGAAAGTGGCATTCTGAGAGAGAAGGGGTGGTACTATGGGGCTAAATGGGACCAGTAAAGGCAAAGTGCTTACATATATAGTAACAATGTGAAGCTCGCTACAGTGTCTATAAGCTGCCAGAGCTGATAGATTCTTTAAAATGAAAGGTTAACATCCATTTTAGCCCAGGCTTTTATCAGGTGATGTGATCTTGCAGAAGGCTGAGGTTGCCGATAGTATATTTTCCTTCTATGGCACCTTGATTGATCTTCTTTTTGTTACACTTCCAATGTTCATGGTCTCTCTTGAAGTACTTGTATCGGACATAATTCAAAAGATACGAGCACGAAACTAAAAACCCGATTCGAATAACCTACATCTGATTGTTCCCTTCCTAGTGAATGTATTGCAGAAGGAATAGTTTCTGATACTGGTCTGGTTCTTATTGGCAGAGCACTGCTAAATGTATGTACATGATGGATGAAGAAGGATACATCCATGGGACACCACATGGTGGATCATTTAGACAGTCAATAAACAAACAGTAATTGAGTTCAATCAACATGGTAGCCAGTGGCCACCATCTGAATCAGCAAACCAAGTGAAAACACTAGGGAAATATGGAACATCCCACACTAACCGGTCTTTTTAGAGGAACAATGCATGTAAGAAAAATAAATAAATCATGAAAGGAACAATTCATGGTAGAAAGTTGAGTTTGATGTTGCATTGATCAAAGCAAAATCATGAAGGGGACAAGGAGAAAAGGCCATAGATTTCGTGAACGGAATACATGGACAATAGTTGAAGTAAGCAAAAGTGGAAAACTAAATCTTACCAAAAGGTTTAATTCTGTGAAAAGTTTTTGTAGTTTTTCAAAATTTTAAATTTGATCCCATACTTTAATTTTTCAACATTAAGAGTCTTTGAAACTTTTATTTAAAAATTTTGATCTATTCATTATTTTTTTCCAATTTTATTGTTACAGCGGTTATTAAACAAAGGTAAATTGACTTTTTGAATCCTTCCTGTTTATAATTTTATCAATTTAATCCTTAAAAATGTAAACATAGATTATGATCATCAGTAACATGATACAATGCTATTGTTAACTAGTTTCAGGGGATGGAACGTTTGGCCTTGAGGACATTGCCAAAGAAAATTCTAAAAGAAATGAAGAGTTGTTCTACGTTAAGCATTTTGCAGATGAATACATCCATTTCCGGAATTAGAAGTCGAAATACGATACGACTTCTGAATAGGGGTCTTATCTGATATGTACGACAACATACGAATGTACAACTGCATAGATTAACGTCTATGGCTCTGTGGAAGACGAGATACTGACACCATTCTTCCGGTGTCTTGTTTCTCGTCCTCAACATCCGTATTGCCTCGCTTGTTAGGGGTATCGCAAGTATGTCATAGTCCTTGGGAGCCTGCACAATGAAGATATGGCCCCCTTCATTGTGCAGGCTCCCAAGGACTATGACATACTTGCGATACCCCTAACAAGCGAGGTGATACGGATGTTGAGGACGAGAAACAGGACACCGGAAGAATAGTGTTAGTATCTCGTCTTCCACAGAGCCATAGACGTTAATCTATGCAGCTTGTTGTACATTCGTATGTTATCTTACATATCAAATAAGTCCCCTATCGTATTTCGACTTCTAATTCCGGAAATGGATGTACTCATATCTGCAAAATGCTTAACGTAGAACAACTCTTCATTTCTTTTAGAATTTTCTTTGGCAATGTCCTCAAGGCCAAACGCTCCATCCCCTGAAACTAGTTAACAATAGCATTATATCATGTTACTGATGATCATAATCTATGTTTACATTTTTAAGGATTAAATTGATAAAATTATAAACAGGAAGGATTCAAAAAGTCAATTTACCTTTGTTTAATAACCGCTGTAACAATAAAATTGGAAAAAAATAATGAATAGATCAAAATTTTTAAATAAAAGTTTCAAAGACTCTTAATGTTGAAAAATTAAAGTATGGGATCAAATTTAAAATTTTGAAAAACTACAAAAACTTTTCACAGAATTAAACCTTTTGGTAAGATTTAGTTTTCCACTTTTGCTTACTTCAACTATTGTCCATGTATTCCGTTCACGAAATCTATGGCCTTTTCTCCTTGTCCCCTTCATGATTTTGCTTTGATCAATGCAACATCAAACTCAACTTTCTACCATGAATTGTTCCTTTCATGATTTATTTATTTTTCTTACATGCATTGTTCCTCTAAAAAGACCGGTTAGTGTGGGATGTTCCATATTTCCCTAGTGTTTTCACTTGGTTTGCTGATTCAGATGGTGGCCACTGGCTACCATGTTGATTGAACTCAATTACTGTTTGTTTATTGACTGTCTAAATGATCCACCATGTGGTGTCCCATGGATGTATCCTTCTTCATCCATCATGTACATACATTTAGCAGTGCTCTGCCAATAAGAACCAGACCAGTATCAGAAACTATTCCTTCTGCAATACATTCACTAGGAAGGGAACAATCAGATGTAGGTTATTCGAATCGGGTTTTTAGTTTCGTGCTCGTATCTTTTGAATTATGTCCGATACAAGTACTTCAAGAGAGACCATGAACATTGGAAGTGTAACAAAAAGAAGATCAATCAAGGTGCCATAGAAGGAAAATATACTATCCGCAACCTCAGCCTTCTGCAAGATCACATAACCTGATAAAAGCCTGGGCTAAAATGGATGTTAACCTTTCATTTTAAAGAATCTATCAGCTCTGGCAGCTTATATACACTGTAGCGAGCTTCACATTGTTACTATATATGTAAGCACTTTGCCTTTACTGGTCCCATTTAGCCCCATAGTACCACCCCTTCTCTCTCAGAATGCCACTTTCATCTTCTTCTTTTTCTAAATTTTGGACTTTTGGGTCATTTTTTTTTATAACCAGAACAGGCTTCTGAGTCCAAGCAAGCCTTGGATTTATAACCCCACTGATATAAAATGTTAAAAACTTGTCCACAGTTGCATTAAGACCCCATATTAGTTAACATGTATATTTTAAGCAGTAAAATAAGAGATTTGGGAAATTTCTTTTATTAAGTGGTTATATAAAGAAGAAAGTGTTCCACGAGAAGCGGAGCACATGCCAAAATTTTGTGGCAACGGGTTTATTCGTGAAACTTCCCCTTTCCTTTCTCTTTCTGAGATAAAATTTAAATGTGCCAAGTGCAAAGCTAAAGCTAAAACAACCCCTTAAGCAACAACGTTAACTACTGTAATTGTACTTCTTTGAAAGCTAAACCGGTTTATCGGTTCTAGTTAATGGCTCAAGTCACCATTCAAGGACGTTTGAAGCTGCTCTTTCATGGTGATAGAGTCGAACCAAAAGGCCATTTTCATTGCAAGCTCGCTAGCAATGTTTTTGGTGGTTCCGGTGGACTAAAATAACTTCAAGTTCAAAAGGGTATGTTCAGGTTTCTTGGTTCTACTACTAGAAAACACTTCTCTTCTTCCTTGAAGAAAGGCAGCACCTTTAATGCAAAGGCAAGTCTTGATGTTAGTGATGAAGGGATTTATGATGATGAGAATTATGATAGTGAGCTTGTAGTTGATGACTTGGCTTGTTTTAGAGGTCTTGTTCTTGATATTTCTTACAGGTAAAAAGAACATTTTTCATTTACCCATTTTTTCTTGTTTGATTTTGATGCTTTCTTTTGTTATTTCAGCTTGATTCTAAAAAGGGTATTTGTTAATATGTATGTAGCATTTTACCATTCCATACTTACATTGCGTGGTCCAATTTTCACTATAGGTGATTGTATAGGTAAATTTTTTTACAGCGTTTCCCCTTGTGTTCAATCTGCAACATGAGTTCTCCTTTACTTGATACCTTTCTAATGATTTGAAATATCGATGCCGTTCCCGACAGGCCGATCAATGTTGTTTGCTGGAAGCGTGCTATATGTTTGGAGTTCATGGAGAAGGTTGGATAGTGAGGCTCACCTTGTCATCTTAGATGTTTGGGGTGGAAGCCATGTGAGGCTTTTAGTTTTCACCATTTACACTTGTTTGTTTATCTTCAAGATTATGATACAAAATGAGGAGAGCTAGTTTCCGATACTCCTTTTTCGATTTCTTTCTATGATAGCATATGGTGATAGGCTAGTGTCACCCTTCCCCTACCATAAAAAGAACAAGAATATCAAATTCTACAGTGGATAATTCATCTACCTCCTTGACTCTTCATGTATGTGTTTGCTCAGATGCAGAACATGCATAGAGAACCTATAATGCGTCGATTCTTCATTTGTTTTTCTTCAAGTAGTTGTGTATGATACATTTGTTCATCGATAAATGAATATGTCACCCGAGTAACACAGTACATAATTGTTCTTTTCGGCATTTAACTTCCTTTTTTCATGCTTTTATCCAGGCTGATGTTCTAGAGTATTATGATCAGACCGTGAACTCCCCAAGAGGATCCTTCAACATACCAGCTGTGTTAAGGGTATGAAACCGTCGAACCGAGGACCTTACTTCCTCATGTTACTTTACTAGATTTGACATTATTCTTTGCACTCCCAGATTCCTCATCTTCTGCAAGTTGTTAAGAGAAGAAAAATCAGCACCAATCTAAGCCGCAAAAGCGTTCTATTTAGGGACAATTTTACTTGTCAGTAAGTTGTCACAATTACACTTGTAATAATCCATAAGTTCTGTTCAAGAACAATTATCTGTTGCTTTCTAAGCTTCTTTCAGTGGATGTTTTGTTTATCTGACAGGTATTATTCTGCTCGCGGTAACTTGACCATAGACCATGTTCTTCCCGTTGCAAGAGGAGGTGAATGGAAATGGGAAAATCTGGTAAGATGACTCACTATTTGTGGATGAACTCCATTGATTGTGTTGTTTGAGCTTATAACATATCTGTTAATCGTGTTATTTAACATTCTGCAACCATGGGAAACCTGATCAAACAAGAGTTCAAGGTATCATGGTTTTAATCACCATGGATTCACACGGGTGTTCATAGTGTTTATTCTTTTGTGTTCCGGGCATAGGTAACTGCTTGTGCCAAGTGCAATTCGAAGAAAGGCCGAAAAACTCTAGAGGAAGCGAATATGAAGCTGATTAAGGTCCCCCAAGGTATTATTTTTCTGCATTGATTATCTAAAACTATTAAGATAGCAACAATTTCGTCTTTGAAAACCAAGATATGCCCCCCTTCATTGTGCAGGCTCCCAAGGACTATGACATACTTGCGATACCCCTAACAAGCGAGGCAATACGGATGTTGAGGACGAGAAACAAGACACCGGAAGAATGGTGTCAGTATCTCGTCTTCCACAGAGCCATAGACGTTAATCTATGCAGTTGTATTTAACTGTATTTAAATACACACGATTATGTCATGGTGACAGGTGAAATGGAGAAGAGATTTGGGGGAGATATGAAATTAGGGTTCAGAGAATTGGGAACTCGAAAGCTAGGGATTTGGGAGAAAGAGGAATCGATTAAATTACCTGATGACAATGCAGTTTGGGAACAGACCAAGGGAGATGACAAACTGGATTGGAACATCAAATGAGAATGGGCCACAGGAGATACTCAAGTAACTACAGCTGTAGAAGATAAAGGAGGATGACAGCCCACCGTGAAGCCCAAGAAGAAATTTGTTGAAGGAATCTATCAAGAAGCAAGCAGTTAGACTACAAGACAAATATAGTGACAGCTGTAAACAAATAATTGGCTGTTGATTAGTAAATATATGCAACATAATTGTAATTGAAAAAAATGTTGAGATTTCAATGCAATTCTTCTTCTTCATACTTTCTTTATTTTTCTGAAATCCCTAATTCTATCATTTTCTATCTTGAATTGTGACAATTGGTAATCAGAGCTACGTTAATTGATCCAAAAATCGAAAAAAAAAATTGGGATGCCTAAGAAAAATACAAAAATGGCTGAAACAAATCCGATTGAGGCAACTGAAATTGTACCTGCAGAGAAGCAAGAGGAAGTGCCGAGATGGTGGGTTGTTCAATGTGAGAAATGGGAAGAACGTCTAGCTACCCTGGAAGCTCAGTCCACAGAAAATATTGGGTATCTGTTGAGTTAATCGATCGACGGAATCGGCCAAGAGGGGGGTGAATTGGCAATTAAAAATTTCGTGGAAGTTTTTGCAGAAAATTGAAAGTAATTGCACAGCGATTTACAGTGGTTCGACTTTCTCAAACAAAGTCTACGTCCACTACCTTAGCTATCCACACTAAGGATTTTCCAACAAATTCACTAATTTGTTCTTTCTTTTGAGGCCAAAGAGATAACCTTACAAAATCCCTCAAGAATATACCCCAACTCTTGAGAACACTCTTTTTCCCAAAGAGAAGATTACAAATTTGCAAACTTACAAGAAAACCTCACAAGGTAAGATGTTTGCACAATTCTAGAACAAAGAAAAGAACACTCAAAGATAAATACAATTGAGTACAAAAGTGTTCTTGAAAGCAAATGAATATTGGATGAAAAATAGGCTTGAAATGCTCAAACTTGAGGTTTGATGCTTTCTCTTTGATTCTCTCTTGATTCTAGTTGCTTGATGTTTCTTATTGTTTTCTTCTTGTTGATCAATGGCTTCAAAACTTGTTTAAATACTCCTTGAATTAATTCTGAACGTTGGTGATAATTAGTGGAGTCAATAGAGCCGTTTAAGTGTGAAAACAATTAATTTTTCTAGGTGGAGCGTCTCATGCATCGATGCATGATCAAGGATGCATCGGTGCATTCGTGTAAAATTCAAATATTTTGACCGTTGGAACACTTGATGCATCGGTGCACCAAGTGTGCATCGATGCATGAAATGCATTCGATGTTTGAAAATAGCCTGAGTGCATCGATGCATGGCTTGTGCATCGATGCATCAAATGCATTCGATGTTTTGAAAATATTCAGAGTGCATCGATGCATGGAGAATGCATCGGTGCATGGAATGCATTCGATGTTTCAATTAATTCACTATTGCATCGATGCATGGTTGATGCATCGGTGCATCACCTCAAATAATTAAATTTAGGCTTTGATTTTGGTTCAAAATACTTTGTGAAAATTGTTTTAAAAATAGTTTAAGTACAAATCACAATTTTACACATTTAGTAAGGTTTAAAATTGATCTTGAAAAACTTGGAGTAATAATTTGATATTCGGTTAATTGAATCGAATATAAAATTGTAAAATCATTTGTAAAATCTTAAAATTCATTTAACTTAATTTGTTATATCAAAATATCAAAAATGTTTTCAACAGTATCTTCAAAAGATTATTCAGATGATTGCAAAAAGTGCAGAGGAAGGTGATCACCTAACTCCAACAACCAGTAAGAAAGGAGCTGACATTCCTGCACCAAAACTGGAAGGTAAGACACCTTGTGAGGTTACTGTAATTAATGAGCATGAAAGATATTCTTTTAAACCTGGAGAACCAGGTATTTTACAATCTAAACCTGGTGATAAACAATATGATCCTATTCTGCTAATTGTTCCATCTTTGAGACTGGTTAGTAATGAAGATGACTCAGGGGAGAATTCTAGTGCTATTCATGCTACTGTTAATGCTTCTGTTTCATTTTCTAGACCTAGAATTGAACTTCAGTTCTTTGATGGTTCAAATCCTAGGGGTTGGTTGCAAAAATGTCAGAAATATTTCAGAATATTTGTTATTCTTGAATTCAGCAGATTGAAATAACTTCTATGTATTTGACTGGGAAGGTTGAAACGTGGTTTGATGGGTATTTAATGCACAAACATAAGGTTACTTGGCATGAGTTTGCAGTTGATTTGTGTCACAGATTTGGCAGCAGTACGTATATTGATGTGGTGGATGAGTTCAACAAATTAACTCAACGAGGTATTGTGGAGGAGTATCATGAATGTTTTGATGAATTAATGCCTTTTATTATACAGTAGAATCCTCATCTGGGGGAAGAGTATTTCATTTCTAGCTTTATTAGCGGCTTAAAGGATGAATTGAAGCACAGAGTTTGAGCACATGAACCAAAATCTTTGGCTGCTACATTTAAACAAGCTAAACTTCATGAAATTGCTGGTGAAATTGAAAGTAAAAAATTTTGACTTCATGTTCGAAATTTCTACAATTCAAGTCAAACTTCTACAGTGAAGAATTTGTTTACTACGATTCTTCCTAAGCCTAGTCCTCCAATTACCAACACTAAGCAGAGTATTTTAGACTATCGAAGAGCTAATAATCTCTGTTTTAAATGTGGAGACAAGTTTGCTCCGGGACATCAATGTAAACAGAAGTAGCTGAATTGTATGAATGAAGGTGAATTTGTTGAAGACATTGAAGAGGAGAATATTCAAGAAACCGAATTACCAGAATTTTTTACTCAGATTGCAGGAGCAAAAGATTTCGAAATTTCTATGAATGCTTTAAATGGACAGGCTAGTTTTTCAACTTTGAGAATTCAAGGGACTGTGAAAGGAAGACCCTTAAATATTTTGATTGACAGTGGTAGTACAAATAGTTTTGTAACTGCTGGTTGGGCTAAGGAAGGAGCAGAGGTTATTTCTACTAGACCTCTTTCAATCACTGTAGCAAATGGAGAGAGACTTTACAGTTACAACACACTCACTAGTAAACAACTCCAATGGAAAATGCAAGGACATCTTTTTGAACATGATTTCAGAGTCTTGCAACTGGGAGGGAGTGATATGGTGCTAGGGGTTGATTGGATGCAAAAGTACATTCCCATTTTGATGGATTTTAATGATTTGACATTGGCATTCCAAAAAGATGGACAACAAATTCTTTTACAAAGAGAAAAAAGGATGCCAACCATTAAATTACTTTATGAGAATAAGTTAAAGAAAATGGTTGTTAAAGATGTTGCTTTTGCTGGTGAATTCTATTTGATGATAACAGAAGAAGATCAGTTTTCAATTTCAGCAGATTTACAATCAATTTTACAACAGTATGCAGATATATTTGATGAACTTGATGGTATGCCACCTCAAAGAGGTCAAGAACATGCAATTATACTTAAGGAGGGAGCTCAACCTGTCAATCTACGCCCATACAGATTTCCTCACCATCAAAAAACAGAAGTTGAGAGACAGATTAAGGAGATGTTAGCCTCTTCCATTATACAAACAAGTAAGAGTCCTTTTGACTCTCCTTGTTTGTTGGTTAAGAAGAAAGATGGTTCATGGAGGCTTTGTGTTGATTATAGGCAATTGAATTCTATAACGGTTAAAAACAAATTTCCTATACCAGTGGTAGAAGATCTTTTGGATGAATTGGCTGGATCTAAGTATTTTTCTAAAATTGATCTTAGATCAGGATATTGGCATATTCGAATAAGACCTGATGATATTGAGAAGACAACTTTTAGAACTCATCATGGCCACTTAGAGTTCAAAGTCATGCCATTTGGTCTAACAAATGCACCAGCAACTTTTCAAACATTGATGAATGAAGTTTTTGGACCATATTTGAGGAAATTTGTCTTAGTTTTTTTTATGATATTCTCATATACAGTAAATCTATGGCAGAACACAAGACGCATTTAAAAATTGTGTTAGAGACTTTGAGGAAGCACCAGTTGTTTGCTAAACAAAGTAAGTGTTTTTTTGGGCAAACACAAATGGAATATTTGGGTTATGTAATTTCAGCTCAAGGTGTTGCTATTGATTTTTCCAAGATAGAAGCTATGACGACTTGGAAGTTGCCTACAAATTTGAAGTCTCTCAGGGGATTTTTGGGTCTTACAGGCTATTACAGGAAATTTATACGCAATTATGGTATGATTAGTAGGCCATTGACTGATATGCTTAAAAAGAATAATTTCACTTGGACACCTGAATCTAGGACAGCTTTTGAGACACTTAAAGCAGCCATGTCTCAGGCTCCTGTTCTTGCTTTGCCTGATTTTACTAAACCATTCTGTTTGGAAACAGATGCGAGTTCTACTGGAATTGGAGTTGTTTTATCTCAAGAGGGACATCCTATAGCCTATTTAAGTAAGGCCTTAAGTCCTAGACATTCTGATTTGTCTGTCTATGAAAGGGAATACTTAGCTATTCTTATGGCAATAACTAAATGGAGACATTACTTTGAAGGAATTCCATTTGTCATCAAAACAGATCATGAAGCACTTAAACATCTTTTGGACCAAAGACTCACTACTTCTATCCAAAAGAAAGGACTTACAAAACTTTTGGGGTTAGACTATAAAATTCTTTACAGAAAAGGGAAAAGTAATTTGGTTGCAGATGCTTTATCTAGAAAAAATGAAGCTGAATTACAGAAGATGACTGTAACAACTATTATTCCACAATGGGTTCAAGATCTTGGAAAGAGCTATACAGAATATAGCTTTGCAAAGGCAAAAATTGCAGAATTGAGTATCTACACAGATGCTAACAGTCATTGGACTTTTACTCAAGGAGTTCTGAGATTTAACAAGAAAGTTTATGTGGGTGGAACTGGAGGATTGAGACAACAAATCTTGACCCTTTTACATGCATCTCCTTTGGGAGGACATTCAGGAATTCAAGCTACTGTTTATAGAGTTCAGCTTTATTTTTATTGGCCAAGATTAAAAAAACAGATCACAGATTTTATTGCTCAGTGTGAGGTCTGCCAGATGACTAAAGTTGATCATTCTCACAAAGTTGGTCTCCTACAACCACTATCAATTTCACACCAGGCTTGGGATATGATTTCTATGGATTTCATTGAAGGTTTGCCACCTTCCAAGAAATTCACTTGCATTTGGGTAATTGTTGACAGGTTTACTAAATATGGTCATTTCATTCCTTTAAAACATCCTTACACAGCAGCTGATTTGGCAAAGCTTTATTTAGCTTAGATTTATAAATTACATGGCCATCCTAAGTCTATTGTGTCAGATAGAGACAAGTTATTTACAAGTGTTTTTTGGAAGGAATTTATGAAACAGGTTGGCACAAAAACTCACTTCAGCATTGCCTATCATCCAGAAACGGATGGCCAAACTGAAAGAGTAAATCAGTGTGTTGAGCAGTACTTGAGGAGTGTTTGTTTTATTAAACCTACTATATGGGTTGATTGGTTACCACATGCAGAATGGTGGTATAACACCAACTATCACACTGCCTTAGGAGTAACTCCATTTGAAGTAATGTATGGTTATAAACCTCAAGTTTTATCTTGGGGTGGTCAGTCAATAGTGCAGACAGTACAGGAGTTATTAGAGCAACGAGATGTCATTAACAAAATTTTGCAGGAACAACTACAGAAGGCTCAATCAAGAATAAAAGATATGCAGACAGGAAGCGTACAAATAAGGAATTTCAGGTGGGGGATAGTGTTTACCTTAAACTCCAACCGTATCAGCTAACATCGTTAGCACTTCATAAAAATCTTAAATTGCCTGCTCATTTTTTTGGTCCCTACACAGTGATTGAACGAGTGGGGTTAGTGGCATACAAATTAAAATTACCTGATCATTCGAAAATCCATCATGTTTTCCATGTTAGTCTCTTAAAGAAAAAGATTGGTGACCAGCAGATTACCTCGTTGGATCCTCCAGAGATTGATGTTGACGGCCAGTTAAAGGTATATCCGGCTGCTTCTTTGGCCAAACGAATTGTGAAGCGCAATAATCAGGATGTTACCCAATTCTTGATTCACTGGACAAACTTGGGAAATGATGATGCTACATGGGAAGACTATACTGTTTTGCGAACACAGTTTCCACAGTTTGATCCTTGGGGTCAAGGATCGTCTGAAGAGGGGGGTATTGTCATGGTGACAGGTGAAATGGAGAAGAGATTTGGGGGAGATATGGAATTAGGGTTCAGAGAATTGGGAACTCGAAAGCTAGGGATTTGGGAGAAAGAGGAATCGATTAAATTACCTGATGACAATGCAGTTTGGGAACATACCAAGGGAGATGACAAACTGGATTGGAACGTCAAATGGGAATGGGCCACAGGAGATACTCAAGTAACTACAGTTGTGGAAGATAAAGGAGGATGACAGCCCACCGTGAAGCCCAAGAAGAAATCTGTTGAAGGAATCTATCAAGAAGCAAGCAGTTAGACTACAAGACAAATATAGTGACAGCTGTAAACAAATAATTGGCTGTTGATTAGTAAATATATGCAACAGAATTGTAATTGAAAAAAATGCTGAGATTTCAATGCAATTCTTCTTCTTCATACTTTCTTCATTTTTCTGAAATCCCCAATTCTATCATTTTCTATCTTGAATTGTGACAGATTAACAGATATGTTATAAGCTCAAACAACACAATCAATGGAGTTAATCCACAAATAGTGAGTCATCTTACCAGATTTTCTCATTTCCATTAACCTCCTCTTGCAACGGGAAGAACATGGTCTATGGTCAAGTTACCGCGAGCAGAACAATACATGTCGATAAACAAAACATCCACTGAAAGAAACTTAGAAAGCAACAGATAATTGTTCTTGAACAGAACTTATGGATTATTACAAGTGTAATTGTGACAACAACTTACTGACAAGTAAAATTGTCCCTTAATAGAACGCTTTTGCGGCTTAGATTGGTGCTGATTTTCTTCTCTTAACAACTTGCAGAAGATGAGGAATCTGGGAGTGTAAAGAATAATGTCAAATCTAGTGAAGTAACATGAGGAAGTAAGGTCCTGGGTTCAACGGTTTCATACCCTTAACACAGCTGGTATGTTGAAGGTTCCGCTTGGGAAGTTCACGGTCAGATCATAATACTCTAGAACATCGGCCTGGATAAAAGCATGACAAAAGGAAGTTAAATGCCGAAAAGAACAATTCTGTACTGTGTTACTCGGGTGACGTATTCATTTATCGATGAACAAATGCGTCGTACACGAGTACTCGAAGAAAAATGAAGAATCGAAGCATTATAGGTTTAGCCATTAACCACTGATGAATTATCCACTGTAGAATTTAATAGTCTTTTGGTTCCACTCTATTACCATGAAAGAGCACTTCAAACGTCCTTGAATGGTGACTTGAGCCATTAACTAGAACCGAGAAACCGGTTTAGCTTTCAAAGAAGTTCAATTACAGTAGTTAATGTTGTTGCTTAAGGGGTTGTTTTAGCTTTAGCTTAGCAATTAGCACATTTAAATTTTATCTCAGAAAGAGAAAGGAAAGGGAAAGTTTCACGAATAAACCCGTTGCCACAATTTTGGCATGTGCTCCGCTTCTCGTGGAACACTTTCTTCTTTATATAACCACTTAATAAAAAAATAAGTGTTCAAATTATACTTCAAATTAATTTAGGTGTTTAAAATTTTTTTCATTAAAAATATATATTTAATGTTTTTAACGTTAAATATCTGGACAATGAATACTATTAAATTCGATCATTAAATGACACTTGTCAAGTATATAAAATTTTTAATTTTTTATAAACCTGATACATATCATTTAATGGTAGAATTTAACAACAAACACCTCCAAGTATAACAACGAAAACGTATTTTTAATGAAAAAAATTTAGACACTTAAAATTAACTTTAAATATAATTTAATCATTTATTTTTACGTTAATCCTTATATAATCCATGACCGTGACATTTTTTCCAATAAAGACAATAACTTTTTGACCCTCAAACTTCATCACTTAATGCATTTTAATCTACCTACTTAATTTGAAATTCCAACCACAAATCTTTTAAAATCACTTAAAACTAATAAAGATAAAATGATAAAAAAAATATACTCTTAATTGTTTAATTAAATAATCATTTTAACTTTTATTCCTTTTTGATATTCTAAAACCCAATGTTTTAAGGCAAATAGACCCCTTAATGAATTAAAACAGTTAGTCAACAAAAGTCATTACTTCAAAATAGATATCTTTTGTCTTAAAATATAATGAAACCAAAATGTTAAAAAATCTAGAATGACTATATAATCAAACGCTAATAATCTTCTTGCCCTAAAATAGATAACTATGAACTAAAATACTATAAAAGAGATCAAAATAACTGTTTAATCAAACGTTTAAAACATTTTCTGATTTTATATCAATTTTAAAATTGTCCATTTTTTTACTATAGTGTCAATTTTAAATTTTAGTTAATGATGGGTAAACGTCATTAAAGAAAAATTACAGGAAAGGACAGAAGAACCCCAAAATATTTGATACGTATGATGGGGTTTAGGGGATCATGCATGACAACATAACAATTGTGGAAGCTGGTCTCATTTGCAGGTCTTCAGCATTTTCCAGCATCAATTTACAGACCTATACAAGCCATTACCAAATCAGTTCGAGCAATAAAAATCACAATTAAGGGTCAGTTTTAATGAAGTTACCATTACACTTTTAATTGGAAGCGAAATGTCAACAACATATAACTCTCAAGTTCTATTCTTTTTCCTTTTTTCAGTTCTTTTTCTTCCTAAATTACATGCTGGATATTACCTAGCATTTAAGCACCATACTGACTTTAAGGAAAAAAGAAAACCCGATACGACAACCACATCCGAAAGATCTGGGTGCCGGTCCAACGGACCAGATTCCCATAATCCTGTTCATTATATATTCATAATTGAAATCGAACTCCTGAAAGCCATGGCATAGGAAAACCTAGTATCCACAACCAAGTCGGCGAAGGCTGTATTCTGAAAAGCCATGTCCCATTCAAAGGTTTATTATTTGCCACCAAACTTGAAGATCAGACAGAGACGAGGTCTGCAACATTCTTCAGAGACGAATGGAAAAAAATAATAAGACTCGATCATTTCAGAGGGAGGAGAGAGGGTGTAGTTTCTTACTATTGTTGGTTTTTCCTGAACTCTGTAAGGACAGGATATATGTTCTCGAAGGCTGTGTATGTCTCATCTCTCACCTGAGACTCGAACAAAGAAAATTAGTGACTCAATCATAAACAGCATGCATGAATGTTGAACGCAGGCCCGAGGTATCACCTTAGCTCCGGTGATCACAATTTTCCCCGACACAAAAATAAGAAGCACAATCTTTGGTTGTTTCATACGATAGATCAGGCCCGGAAAGAGTTCTGGTTCATACTGCATTAAAAGAACATTAAGATAAGTCTCAATCATTTATCTCGAGTCCTGACAAACAAGTCTTGCTTTCCATCTAGAACTACCAAAAACAAAAAAAGAAGGCCAAACCCAAACTTATCTTCATGTTCTAAAGGCTATTTTACTAGATAATGATACCTCACTTTCAACTTTATGGCATATAATGTTTCAAAATAAGGGTAAGTAGACTCCAAGGGGCTCGTAAGAAAAGGCTAACTATATAAATGAACATATACATAGATAAAGGCATTTGCAGTCTTGCACTAATCTCAGACTCACAATGTCCACCTATAAAACATTCATATCAATGTTCATATACACAAAGAAACAACCCAATGAAAGCTGACCGCCACTTACACTTGAAAAGGCACCATGGGAGTATGCAAGACCTTCAAGTCTGATAGGAAATTTAACATCACAAGAACCAACAATGTTCTGAATCTTGAAGTCCTGCCAATCACAGCAGAAAAGGCTAAATAACTGACCAAGTAGGGGAAAACGCTTTATGAGCATTGTTTGCATGGGACAAATATAAAAGAAATCAACCATTACAGTACCTTAAACTTAGCAGGAAAACCAAGCTTTTGGATAATTCTGGCATACTGAAGAGCATAAAAAATTCTCAATTAATCACTGGTTTCATGATTGTATCTTCCTGTCTAATGATAAGAATAACTACACAAAATAGTTCAAAAACAATTTAAAAAGAATCTCAAAGATAAATATCTACCTTCCTCGCAGCCAGTTTAGACTGCTGTTCGCTTTTTGCGCCAGTGCAGACCTTAAGCAGCAAGGAAAGTTGTTTAGTAAATCAATAATTGAATAATGTTAACACACTAGCACTAGTTATTTACTAAACAATTTTGACGCTAAAACTTCCAGTCTTCCACACAGCCAAATAGCTGTATATGATTATGATTTCCAATAAGAAATGAACTACCATCTTTCCAGAGGCAAAAATCAACGCTGTAGTTTTTGGCTCCCTGATTCTCATAATGACTGCAGCAAAACGCTGTAGGTTTTTTATATATAAAAAAAAGGGTTAGCGACCAAATAACATCAGCAGAATCAGAGCTGCACAAACTATAATAAATAATAACAAGAACCATAAGTAAGTAGTATACCTTCGGATTGTACTCTGCGTTTCGAGCTTGCAGTGCAATCTGCTTAAGATCCAACTTGCAATCTAAGTTTACAGTTGATACAATGTTCCTAGAAACACAATAAGAGTAAACCAGAATATTAACTACGGCCAAATCCAATAGTTTTAATAGTACAAACATGAAGAAACTTTTGTAAAGTCTCATTTGTAAAAATAAATTTCTAATCACATCAGTTTCAATTTCCTGTTAGGATGGCACCTCAACTTATTTGGCTGGCTGATCCTTCTTAATAACAAGACTTAGGAGATGTGGCTTAAATGGTATATTATTTCAACAACAGGCAAGTGAATTAAGCTTAATAATGATGTTTTATATATTTTAATAATATCAGAAACTCTATCAGCATAACAAAACAAAAAACAGTATCATCCAAAGACAACTAATAAAAAGCCTTCCACTATTATGATACAAAATCACACTCAAGTGTCCTTTAAATTTCCAATAAAGCCTACTCAACCCTGCATAAAACGGAACTCATTTCTACAAAATACTTTTCAACGTTCACAAACAAACACCAGTACACCACAAGCTAACATTGCATATCCCTAAATTCCCCATTCTTCCCACAACATAATCAAAACCCATTCCACAAACTTCTCGTCATCAGCAAACCATAACGTGCGAATATGCGTGGGAGATCCTACAGGCCATTCTACATTCAGCTGGTTCTTAAAAGGTTGGGGTCAGTGGCAGACTCTTTCCAAAAAGGCAGTAGCTGGAGTTGGAGAAAGTTGCTGCAGCTTAGGAGAAAAGCTCAACATGTCATCAAGAAGGTGAACGAGGCTATTGTGTGGCCTTTCCAAGGGCATAAACATGATGTGACAGTCAATTACCCGTGATTTAATTAACATACCTACCCAAAACTCTAATTCACAATTACCTACCGATCCACAAACTCTATTCAGCCAAAAGATCATTCAACTCATAAATCACCAAAACTCTAAGACCCATATCCCCAAAACACCTTTCTTTTTCTCCTGAAAGTTCCATCTCCAATAACACTTAAAGATCTCCCCATCTAAAACCTTATATAAAAGTGTCCGACTCGAAGACGACAAGAGAAGCAAGAATAGAGACTTACTGAAGAGTGGGAACAATGCCAGATGGATGCTTAGAAAGATCCACTGGTTGGCTCCCTTCCAAGCCAACTTGTTCCGCCATTCTCTTCTTCGTTGTTCACCCAAAAACTCCGAAAGAAAATCCCCAATATTTTCCAAAAACAGGTCCGGGTTTTCTTCTAAACACACAATTCCAGAACAACCCAATCGAATTCGCCAAAAATTAGGTTTTCTTCTTAACAGGTTAAAATCTAAACAAATTTAATCAAATTCAACCCGTTAAAAGATATACAGTCTACAATATTTGGAGAGAATGAAGAAAAACCAGAACACAGAAACAGATCAGATAAAGTTCATTCAAATCTGAGCAAATTCACAGATTTTTTCAATGGGAAAAGATTGGGGATTTTAAACGATTGCATATAAATATATCAAAATCGGAGGGAAATTGAGGGTAAAAGTTTGAAAACGAGAGCCTTATATATATATATATAAACAAGAGAAGATTTTGGTTTAAGATTAAAGAGAGAAAAAGGAATGGATTTGAGAGGGCATCGATTTGATGATGAGATTTTTGAGGGTTTGGTTTATAAGAAAGAGGGAGAGGCGGTGTTTCAATCGGTTTGCCCTTTTGTACCCTACCTCTTCCTATTTATAGACGTTGACTGGATTGGCCTGTTAAGAAACGTCAGATACCGGTTTTTGCCGGTTATGTTGGGGAAAAGCTTGCCTAAGCTAATGTAATTTATTAAAATAATTATATTAAACGCAAATCCTAGTGACCGATGATTAAAAAATTATTGTTATTCATTAAATTTTTGGATTTAAGTACTAAAAATATTAAGAGTACGAGATTTTTTAATATTAAAAGGTTAAAAATTATCTTTGAATAGATATTATTTTATATTTATCTCAAATTAATAAAAAATCATTATATTTAATGAATTTTTTAAATATTTTTCAAAAACAATGAAATTAATTTAGTTGATGTGAATAATTTAGGAGAAATCAAATTCAATCAAATATTTGTTGAGTTAATGTCAAATTAACTCATATTTTAGTTATTTTTTATTGAGTTTGTATCGAGTTAACTTAAAATATTAACTTCCACTAGTATAACATAAAAGAGAATGTTATTTTTTCTAGAGGTCCTGAATTTAAGCAATTGTGTCTACATTGTGTGTTATCAATGATTAAGAAATATTATGAATATATTATATCTTATAATCACTTCATATTATTAAAAAAATTGAATTTATTAATATCATTACATTTATTATGCAAAAAAAATTAAAACAATTTAATACCTTATCATGTCAATCTAAAATAACACGTTTATTAATATATCTTTAATAAATTATTTCTTATATAAACAAATAGTTATATATTTTAAATTTTATTCTAAACTTGATATGCATAATTTATATAAAGAAGATATAAAATTCAACGATTAAATTATTAAATGTTAATCGTAGAAAAAAATTACTATATGTACAATGCATTTGATTTTGTATTAGAATAAGTGGATCCCTTCCAAGTACGATCTAGTTATATTGTGCAAGACTTCTTAGTTTTTATATTAATGTAGGATCATTTGATAGATGTAAATTAATGATTAAAATACACTGTTTAAAATGAGGTGATTTTTATAAGTAAAAAAATATGTGAACAATGTAAATGCTCAAAATTTTAAACTTAATTATTGATTTATAATCTTAAATCAATAGAAAATTAAAGAATTTTATATGGTATAATATATATATAACTATTGACTTTTGGGTATTCATAATTTGAATGGATAGATAGAATTTGTTATTCAAGTATGTTTTAGTTTTGAAGATATTGTATTTGAGTGTTCAATTGATAAGGGAATCAGCAGCGGATGATGATGATTGATAAATAGTTATCCTACGAACTCTCCTATTCGCAATTGACTAGATAAATTCGATAATTAGATATAACCAACTCTCCTAATCGCAATGAGAATGTAAACTGGAGTGTTAATATCTGTCACACAAAGAACTTAATGAAAAGAAGCTTTGAATGCATAAGACAATCTGCACTTGCAAAAATAAACTCTCGTTGTATTATTTATCAAAGAAATATGCCTTTTTAAAGTTTAATGAAGCATCCTTTATATTGGGTATGAAGTCCTTGTTGTTATGCTATTCTTCTTTCCAAGGTTTGTTCGTGTGGATCAATTGGAAGTGCAAGTTTATCTTCCTTTGATGTGAGTCTTGTGATGCATGTATCAAGAAGTTTAGATTAGAGGAGTATAATCGATATAAGTTTGATTTTTGATGTATGTATACTTTGATATTTGATTGTGTAAGTTAATATGCCTAAAATGTATATAGTTTTTATGTACCATTAATGAGAAGGTGATCTATGATGAAAAGTATCAACGAAAGTGTCAGATCTTCAAGCATTTTATTAAAAAAACTTTAAATATTTTTTTATAAAATCCGCTAATTTTATTAAAAGTATAAAATATTCAAATTATAATAAAAGTTTATGACCATAATCGTAAACTAAACATATAATAAAGATATTTTCCTAAACACAAAAAAATCAGTCACTCAAGATCACATAAGGACCATACAAGGAAGAGGTTAAAAAATCTAACTAAATACACTCGAAAAAAAAAGATAGATTGTATCGGCAAACAAACCACAAAAGGGGATAGAGTTATTAAAGGATCACAAGCAAACCACAAATCAGAATCGAGCGACGTGAAAATACTATTCATGAACGCAAATTGTGTATCTGAATCCAATCCGAGTGTCCAAATAAGGGAAGATCAACATGATAACAAATAAGAGCTATCTTGATCAGTCGTGATGATATCAAATCCAACCCGGAAAAAAAGATAAATGAAAATAACGACCAAACAACCGAAAATGTGTCATAAATATAGAAGAAGACATGTCATAAAAGCATAATTATTAAAAATAAAAAATAAGAAAAAACAAAGATATACTATGATAAAGCAAATGAAACAATGAATACTGGCAGTCAACGACCAACATCAATACTGATGTCGCTTCGCTTTCAATTACAAAGATAAAGAAGAAAAGAGATTAGCTACTACTAAATTTAAAGAAAAATACTTTAAACATAAACGAAGGATAATCATTCATTTATAATATAATCAAATACATCATTTTATTATTTTGTGAAGATTAAAGATAGACTCTAAGCCGGAGCTCATACTGCTCCCCATCTATGAACTTACACACGGTCAATCATTTAAAGTAAATGCATAAATATGGCTTAAGATCCCATTTATTAATTTCTTTTTTAGCATTCGAATTAGCGCTGTCGGCGTAGAAAGAGTAGAGTGCTTCCGATATCACATTTGTTCATGCCAAGAACTTCACGCAGCCTGTTACGAAACTTGCGTTCGTCCTTAGTTTGCTTCCATAAATATCTTATTGGGAATGTCCATGCCAAAAACAATGCCAATGGGAGGAGTTCAAGAGCCACTATGAGTCCAACGTTTAAGTATGACCAGGAAGCTGATGGCGATAAGATCATCATGGAGCAGAAGTAGGAGATGACCAACATATAAAGCGGGAGGACAACCAACAGGAAAATATTGAAACTGAAGAGGATGAATACTGTCAGAGCAATCGTAAGCCCAAAGGTAAGGACGTTCACCGCCCAAAACAAAGCGAACCCGTCTGGAGTCAATATCGTGGTACCGGGTCTTTTCGATTCCTGCTCCTGGCCCAAAAGAAAATTTACAATGGTGTCGTTGTAGTTGGGTTCGGGGAAGTAGTGATTCGTAGTACTGATGTCAGAGACGTTGGCCGGATTGTTGTCATTGTTTCCTTGCCAAACACCACCGGGCGGACTTAACGACGATTGGTAGACTGCTGTTATAACCAGCGCCGTGACCACCAGCATGGAGTTGATCATGTCGATCGACACGCGGTTCTTCACGCGTGCTACCACTACACGGCATCTATAGACAGGGTTAACTTTTTTTTTCATCCCTTTAATCTTGGAATCAACGTCGTCGTCATAGATCATGTCGTCGTCGTCCACCTTGATGTTCCTGCCTGGTAATTGTTTTTCGTCCTTTTGAATGATATCTTGAGCTGTCAAACCTTTCGAGTTCTTGGCTTTTACATCCAACAAAACGTAGGAATCTAACATTAGTTTCATTTCCTGCGTCATTGATGGTCAATGTTATATGAGAATTGAGAAACTATTAATTAATTAAGTAGGGTTTAGGGTTTAAGAATGAATAGAAACTTCATGTACCTCACGTTGTTCCTTCATGGCTGCAATGTGCAAGACAGTGTTGCCATCGTTGTCTTTCCAATTCACCATTTTGTCTTCAAAAGTAAACGCGCTCTTAGCATGACGGGTCCTTTGAAACCATCCGAATAGGAGTTTAAAAGCTTCGACATCGCCGTGTTTCAGAGCGAGATGTAAAGCGGTCTCGCCGCGGATCGTAACGTCTTCGATGCATTCGGGGCAAGCCTCAAGAAACTTCAATAAAAGCTTATGGTTTCCCGTTGTAGCTGCGTAAAGGAAAGGAGTCACCCCTTTCCAACCTTTGACACGAACCAGATCTTTATCGGTCTCCAACAGTAGGTGCACCAGCTTGGTCTTCCCGTTCTTCAGCGCCAAGTGCATGGGGCTAAACCCTTCTCGGTTCAGCTTCTTGGCAAACGAAGGCTTCAAGTTCAGCATCTCCATTGCAAAATCAATGTGCCCTTCATTTGCTGCCACATGGAGTGGAGTCTGGATGAAAGGAGTCTGGTCAATGCCTTCCAAGATGTATGGATCTTCTAGGATAAGAACATGCAAGGCATCGACGTTTCCTGTTTCAGCTGCTGTTTTCAACTTTGGGTTCATTTCCATGATTCTTTTTTGTGTGGAAAAGTCTGAGTTTCAAGAGCAGTATTGGAAGTGATGAAGATGTTTGGAGAGTTGCAGACTAACATCAACTTATATAGCCATCGGTCTCGATGCAAAGTTTAATTGTAAGAATATGTACTGATTGCTTCACTTGAAGCAAAGAATGATTCTGATTTCTGAGTGACTGATGGGTTGAAAGCAAAGAATTTAATTGTAAGAATATGTTTAGAGTTTGTTGTTGTCGTTGATGATAACATTTGTGTTACGATGCACGTAGGTGGTTTATTCTTTTTGATTTTGAACAATATTTTATCTAAGATATATTCAGAGTTTATTATTGTTCATTTTAAGAATTATATGTTTGCTCATGAAATGATAAAATTTAAATCAATAAATTTAAATTTTTGATATAATGTTATTATTAAATTATTTGAACCACCATATTAGGGATGACAGATGGGTATAATTATGTGGATTTCGCATCGTGTCCACCTTAATTGGTGTGGGAACGGGTATAAGTTTAGTAGATAGTGGGCGGGTGTGGATGTAAAAAGTCATACCCACCTTAGGTAGTAGGTAGGTGATGGGTTTGAGACTTTACTCGCCCCGTATCCGCTCGCTCACTGACTACCCACTATATAAATTTTGGACCACTATAAATTTAAGTATAATTTTAGAGATTATTTTGTAAATCTTAAAATTTTATAGGACATTACTTGTAATTTAATCAAATGTTAGGGTATAAACATTTTTAGAATTGAAGACCGTCATTTTTCCTATCTCAAATTCTCAATCTCTAAAATTAGTTTCTTAATGGATGTGTTTATTTTATGTTTTACTGCTTATATAATCTATGAGGTTGCTGTCAGGCGGATATGGGTGGGTATGTATATGGGATGGGTGTCAGGTATCCAGTTTGATAGTGGAGGTGGAGGTGGATTTAGGAATGTACCCATGTGGGCTGATGTAGATTTAAAAAATTTTACCCTTTATGGATGATGGGTAGATGGTGGATTTGAAAATATTATGTGGGTATGGGGATAGAAGAAGAGGTATCCGCACCAGCCCTGCCCGTTTACCATCCCTACACCATACCCCTAAATTAAATATTCTTATATGTTTAAACACATAGATTTACGTATTTTTAAATATTATATAAATAATAGAAAGTAATGATAAAATTTAATTGTACAAAAAACATACATCCATTGCTTTAGTTTTAGTAACGAATGATTCAAAGTAGAAAAAAGTACTTGGACATTCTTCATTGAAACTTCTCTCTTTAATATTAGTAGAGAACCTCTTATCTTTAGCACTAAGTAAAGGGGAAAAAAAAGAAATTACTCTTTATATAGATTTTTCTTTTCTTTTTTAATATTTTTATGATTCATATTCAAATTTTATTATTATTATTATTTATAAAAAAAATCTTCTTTTCTTCTTTTTAATATTTTTTATGATTCATATTTAAATTTTATTATTATTTATATAGAATCTTTTTTATATATATTTCTTTAAGGTTTGAATCTTCCTTCTTTTCTTACTTTTCCCAACTTAAATACAAAGAAATGATTTTGAATAAATTAATTTTAGTACTCATCGTCTCAGCTGCACTATAAGATCTTAAAAGTACAAAAATTATTAAAAATATTATAAAAAATACGTGGAACATAAAATTTTCATACTCCTAGAAAATAGTTGGGAAGTATGAAAATTATTAAGAGAGCTGTAATTTTGGTAATTACAAAAATTCTCAAATATCCAACAAAATAAATCAAATTTCAATAAAAAATTATTAATTAAAAAAATTAACATACGAAAAATATTAAGAAAAATACAAAAAATATGATATCTTTAAAAATTGTGTAATTACAGAAATATTAGAGAAATGGGTCAAATTATACTTAAGACTAAATTGAAATAACAAAATATGAATTAACCCTATTTTTTTCTTCAAATTTATTTAGTGGATTACCAAATTATTTTTTCAGTAGCGGATGTATATGCATTTCAGAGTGAACATATGCTCATACTAAAATCTGAATTTTTTATGTTAATTATTTATTTTATTGATGATGTCTCCCCTCGAATTTTATTTGTGTCCATACCATTTAAAACTTTTATGTTATTATTATATATGTGTCCACCATCATAATTATTTATGGACCCGTTGCTGCTTATTTTCAATCATCAAAATGAACACCATCATAATTTTATTATCTCGTGGATTTAGCCTCTTATGCGATATATATTTTAATATGGTGATTCAGAAGAGAAAGTTTATAAAAAAAATTCTATAGAATTTTTTTACTTAACTATCGTTATCTAATTTATTGATTGAATATTTTAAATTGGGTTTAATAGAGACCTATCATTGGACAATTCTTTAATTTAATTTGTTGTATTTTTAAATATTAAGATTTGAACTTTTAACTTTATTTAACCAATAATGAAAACAATGATACAGTTTAACTGTACAAAACATATATTCATTGCTTCAGTTTAAGTAAAGAATGATTCAAAGATAAAGAAATGACTTAAAAAGACATTCTTCATGGTAGCTTCTCTCTTTAATCAAAGAGAGATCAATTTTAATTAACGAAGTTGGTTTAAGGGGCAAACAGTTTGATATCGTTTATGTAAGGTCTGAAATTTGAATATTTGTGTATGTAGAAGATTTCTGTTGAGAGTCTCGTCCACTAAAAATAATGTGTGTAATATCGATCAGTTCAAATTAATTAAGACGAACCGTTGAAAAAGTAAAAAGAAAAAAGAAATTACTCTTTATATAGAATTTTTTTTCTCTTTTTAAATATTTTTATGATTCATATTCAATATTTTTTATTATTAGTTTCTCTTTAATACAAACTAATAAACTAGAATAAATTACTTTCAGTACTCATCATCTCAGCTGCACTATTAGATCGTAAAAGTACCAAAATAATTATTTAAAATGTATTAAAATAATATAAAAATTACGAGAAACATAAAATTTTCATATTTATAGAAAATATTTGGGAAGTATGAAAAATTATTAGGAAAGCTCTAATCTTTTTGGTAATTACCAAAATTCTCAAAGATCCAAAAACTAATTTTTAATTAAAAAATTATTAATTACAAACAAAATATTAAGAAAGCACCAAAAAATGACAAATATTGGTAATTACTTTTTTTCACATCATCAAGATGAATATCATTGTAATTTTATCTTGTGTGAGAATTTAATATAAAAATGTATTTAGTACGGTGACTCAGAAGAAAAAGTTTATATAAAAATCATTTTTTTCTTATTTTTCCGATTTATATATTGTATTGATTAATCTGAATTAACTTATATCACATATCTAGTTTCGGTAGATGAATCTTTTAACGAAGATTTTTTGTGTACATAAGGACTCGAACTCAAAACCTACTTAAATTATATCAAGTTGCTTACCATTTGAATCAATCCTTGTTAGTCTCTCTAATTTTTTTTTAGTTTAACTACATATATTCGATTTATTAATTAACTATTTTAGATCAAATTTTGTAAAAGACCTATGAGACAACTTTTAATATTGCTTAAGATATTTAATACTCACCTAATTAAACTAATTGAAATTGGTAAAATCCAATGCGAAAACATAAAAGAAAGTGTACAGAGTGAAGAAAAAAATATATGAATTAAAAAAAATTTGGTTTGACAAGTCAACAAAGCCATGAGTTCTTTTGGGGTAAATTACAATAATGATCACTAATGTTTGAATAAATTTCAGTTTTCTCATTAAAATTTTAGAAATGATAAATTAGTCACCAACATTATTGATATATAATAAATCGGTCCTTCGCCATTAATAACCATTAATCCAGTAACATAAGATTGAGGTGATATGTTAAATTGACTTATTTGGCACTATTTGGCCACGTAGGACGAGAGCTGACTTTTTGACTAATCTTAAATCTTCTACAACTTCCTTTTCCTTCCTTTTATTAACGTTGCATAGGAGGAGACGACATTAGCAGACAGCGCGGATTTTAAGACAATGGAAGGGTATTCAATTCAAATATTTCTTCCTGTTTTGTGTGTTTGGTTCTATCTTCCAAAACCAAACTTTGATAACTCTTAAAACCCTCTGTTTTTCTCCATTTTCAAAGCTCTTCGTTTACTTCAACTTTGTCAGAGTGAATAACTTAATTAGCTGGGGGGGAATTTAAACATGAAGCACCAGCATTCAAGTTTAAGATCAATGCATGCTCAGTTTATGCATACACGTCAGGACTCTCCGATGTGTGTATTCTTACTTGTTCCATTACCTATGGCTGTTGTGAAAAAGCAACTATTGCTCGATTTACATGTTCTTATTATTGTATATTTGGTTATTTGGATAAGTTCATTGCATGGTATGAGATAAACTTGGTTATTTAAGGAAGCCAACATTAATGGATGCCATGACACTGAATACGACTCTTATCATTCCTCGAAAGAAGCACGAACTGAGCGTTGCTCGTGGTGAATCTTCTTAACTGAACATGCACGAGAATCTCACAATGGAAACGATGATGGGGATTATTATTATGAGCAGGTTGATGAGGGGGAAATTAACTACCCGGAGGGTAAAAAGAAGCTTGGTGTCATGTTTTCGTGAGCAGTGCGGAGATATGGAGATGGTGAGATGAACTACTTGCAGGTTTACATTAATACCCACCAGAGAGATATGGAGATGGTGATATGAACTACTGGCAGCAATACTCACTGATTACCAAGAATGGTTGGAGTAGGATAAGTTTTATTAAGCTTCTCGGGACCGATAATGGCGGAAGGTTACCGAAAATTGGGGTTAATAATGGAGGAATAGAGAAGCTAAATAAGTGAAGAAGGCAAAAGAGAGGAGATGAGGTTTTAGGGGAGAAGAGGAGGAAGAGGATGAGGTTGAAGAAACTCAAGAAAGAATGGGAGAGTTGTGGTGGTGTGAGGCTGCAGAGGAGTAAAAGTCTGATAAAATCAAATGTTGTTTAACAATTTTACGAGGAGTCAAACAGATGATCTCGCGTAGGTCAGCCGGTTAACATGCCAGGTTAGCATTATGTCACCTACAGTAACGGTTATTAACCGCGAGTGTTCGATATATTATAAATAAATAACATTATTGATCAATTTGTTAATTTTGAAATTTTAATGAAAAAACAAAAACTTGCTCAAACATTAATGACCATTTGTATAATTTATTCTTTTTTTTATTATCATTAAAGCAAGGTAAAACTCACGACATAATGCATTCAAAAAAAATATTTTACGAGATGATGCACTGGCTAGATTAATTGCTCGAATGGGGTAAATTCTACAGTGGCAACATAGGTCGCCATGCACGCCCGGCGTCCTACAAGGTCGCCGGGACTACATGGCGACCTACAAGGTCGCCCAGATTGCATGGCGACCTCTCCATTGGCTGGCTCGTCTGCATGGCGACCTCTCCTCGTATAATACTGCATGGCGACCTCTCCATTGGCTCGTATGGCTCGTATATGGCTTGTATGGCTCGTATGGCTCGTATGTCTCCCGTATGTCGCCTGGATTGCATGACGTCCTACAAGATCGCCTGGATTGCATGGCGTCCTACGAGATCACTGTAGAATTCACCCCATCCCAGCAATTAATCTGGAATGTGCATTATATCGTGAATAAAAAAGTTCGAGAACATTATCTCGTGAATTCACCCTTAAAGCAATATTAGTTATTCCCTATCCGTAAAACATCACGATGGTAACTTCTTATTTTTTATGTTTATGACAAAGAATGACAAAGAAGAGAGGTGAAACTAAAGAAACAATTGATTCAAGAATAAGAAACATAAAATAATTTTAATTAGTATAATATAATTTTAATTAACTTTTAAAAAATATAATTTTAATTATTTATTTTAATACAAATACAATTTTTTTAATGGAAAACGAGGAGCTATTGCTCAAGCCCTTACACTCAGGTAAGGGGGACCATTCGTGTCCCTGTCTAGAATACTAAGTAGTTGCGATGTGTATGATGCCAGAATGGCAGTAGTCCCATCTGTCGGAGGGTCCATTTTGGATATGAAGTCTGTTGCAGCGTTTACTTCTGGGTAAACTTTCTGAAACTCAATAGTCCAGGCGTTGGCACAGATTGTTGCTATTGCTCTCACTAGTGCGAAGGTGCTGTTAATCAGATGGGGGGAAAGTAGTTTGAAAGTATCCTCATGTCCGTTTGCACTATCAATCTCTCAAAGTTTTCTGTCCATGCAATTTTCAGTCCTTCATATATTCCTCAAAGTTCTGCTTTGAGGATTGAAGACTGACCGCCGTGCATGCTTGTTGAAGGATAGCAAGATGGCACGTGTGGAGTCTCTGAAAAGACCTTCGGCTGAGCCAACTCCATCTGTATTCAAACATATCCAGCCTGGGTTCGGGGGGAGCCGTTTGGTTTGTGTTTCCAGCGGTTGCGGCGTGTTGCTCGGTCGTTGTCGGAATGAGTGGCATTCGGTATATTGTTTGCTGCAAGCACTTGTCTATAGAATGGCTATTGCACTGAGCTGATGGTCTTGAAAAATTAGTAGGTTACGTGCTTTTCAAAGCTACCATACTGTGGATGAAAAGAGGATGTTCCAAGTGCTGCCAGCATCGTTGCATGGTGAGGATATGCGGAGGCTTTGTATTATCCAGTTCTTGAAAGGGAGATCGTAGAATAGTGGTCGAGGGTATTTGCGTAGTAATCTATTCCAGAGGCATCTAGCCAGAGACGGAGCTATGTAGGGATCCAAAGGGGGCCGGTATTGTAAAATTTTATATATTCGATAGATTTTGATCTAATTATATTTTGACTCATGTAAAAATAAGTATTCAAATTTAAAAAATTTATTAAATATTTTATTAAGAATGGTCGAACTAAAGAAGGATAATCTAATATTTCATCCTAGCTCAGTATCTGGATCTAGCTTTGACGCAATCACGAAAGATATGGAACATGGTTTTAGTTGAGACATCTAATTATTTCTTGAGCACTTTGACCTCAACGTTTCATTTTAAGGCAAAATGATTATGGGTTGGATAGAAACAATTAATTGACCAACGTTCAATACTTGTCAGTGACATAAGATTGTCATGTTTCCATTTTCAACATATGGTATATAACATGTTATCACTTTCAACATGTGATATATACCACATCATTACTTTTTATATGTGGTATATACCACGTCATAATTTTCGACACGTGATATGTACCACACTATCATTTTTTGATTAGTAACATATGTCATATCATCACTTTCAACATATGATATGTCACCTCATTACTTTTGACATATGATATTTAGCATGTCACCACTTTCGATATGTACCAAGTGATCACTTTTAACACATGATATATATCACGTAATCTCTTTTAACACATGATATATATTACATATCATTTCATCATTTTAGATGAAAGATATTTGTCATATTATCTATTTTAATAAGTGGCAGTTGTGCATCTTGTAGGTAATAATCAATGAGTTGTTTTATCTAACCAAAGACATTTTGTATAAAGTGAAATGTTGACAGTTAAAATAATTAAAAGAAAAAAAATAAGAAGTAGAATAATTATTTTGTCCAAATTAAAGGTAAATTTTAACATTATATCTTTATTTATAATATAAAAGAGTAGGGTAAAAGGACATTGCAGCATGATGCTGTTTAGAGTCTACACAACAACTCCTCCATTCACCCTAATAACCTGCCCATTGGTCCACTCTCCAGCATCGCTCACTAAAAACCCTACAATTCCTGCTATATCCTTTGGCTCACCCAACCGACCTAAAGGGCAAGCATCCACAAATCTCTGGACAGTTTCTTCAGTCTTACCGGAAAAGAACAGCTCCGTGGCTATCGGCCCCGGAGCGACACAGTTTGCTGTTATCTTCGTGCCTTTGAGTTCCTTAGCCAAAATCTTCGTCATTGCCTCAACAGCTGCCTTTGAAGCAACATAAGCTGCATATCCAGGCAAGAGTGATCCCACCAGAGATGTCGAGATCGTTACGATCCTTCCTCCGCCGTCGTGAGTCAACCGACGCGATGCCTCTCGACAGCAGAGAAATGATCCTTTAGTGTTGATGTTGAATGTCACATCCCAATCCTCCACTGATGTGTTTGCTAAGGATGGGTACTTTTGATCCATCACACCTGCACAGTTGACAAGGATGTGTGGTTTGGACCCGAATTCTTGCTCGGTTTTATCGAAGAGTAGCTTGACGTGATCTGGGTCGGAAACATCGGCTTTGATGGCGACTGCTCGGGGATGATCGGCGGTGCACGACGCATTCAACACCGATGCCAAAAGATTAGCTTGTGTAGAATTGGAAGCATAATTGATGGCAACACTTGCACCGAGAGAATGAAGATGGTTGACAATGGCACGGCCGATGCCACGAGAGCCACCGGTTACTATTGCTACACGGTCCTTGAGTGGAAGCGAAGATGATGACACCTCCATGCTTGTTTCTGCTGCAAAAAAATGGTGAAATTGTGAGTTTGAGAAGATGATACTTGGAGAGAAGATTTATATATTGGGGTTTTGGAAATGGGTGGATGCCATCAATATTTGTATTTGTATGTAGCAAAGTCAAGCTTCTGACTTGGGAAAAGTAATCTCCATCAGACTACCCACTCAAAATAAAAATGGAGATAAACATTAAACAATTCAGTCTTTGCGTAATTGATACATTGAATGCATCATAAAATAAAGCAAATGAAATCTGAGAAAGTTCGATGAGGTGGGTACACGTATGCCATGACGTATATTTGACTTGGGAAGCACAACACATTTTCTATTAAATAAATAAATATATCATAATCCAAAAGAATATTGAAACTGGAAAGCAAGAATCAATGGAATAAGCATACCAAATGAGATGTTGATGCTTCGTGGTGCAAAGCAAAATAAAGAACAAAAAATGCAGTGAATGGCAGTCATTAGAAACTGAAATATTCTTCACAACCAAATCAAGATTCATTACAAGATGATATTTTATATATAATTTCTCTAAATCTATACATACTCTGCAAATTACGTTATTGTTTAAATTTACACTCTTTAACAAAAATTATAATTTTTTCTTTTATCTTTGAAATCACTCGATAAATATAACAAAATCTATATTCAAAAGGATAAAAGTGGCATGCATCTCGAACCCACATCCACCAAACCCACATGACTACAAGCTAATAATAGTCCCATGATTTGGTGGTGTTAGAAAACAGTATAGCTCTGAAACAAAAATGTTAGTATTAACCGATAACTAATAATGAAATAATAGAAAAAAATTAAATGATTTATCGTGTTATAATAAAAGTCATTGTCTTATAAATAATTTTACATAGATTAACCTAATCATTATAATGGATACCACTCTTAAAGTTAACACAACCTTCTAAACTTCGTATATTAGAAGGTCAGAGTGATCAAAAGGAACTATTAACTATATGTTTGACTGATTTTTTTAAGAAATAAATAATTAAATTATTAATTATATGTTCCAATTAAGGTGAGAAATAATAGAATTATTAATTATATGGTCCAATTTTTTTTAATAAAAGTCACTTGCTCATTTTCCCAAAGAGATCCATGGCCTCGATGTCGTATCCATATTGAGAATAGTGTCACGGACCACGAGCCCACAACCGAGGTTAGCCCATGAAGAGCAGCCCAAGTGGTGTTTTGGACCTTCTAGAAGCCTCAAAGACTTAGGTGGGCATTTAAATATGTATAGATAATGCCCACTTGTTTTTGGTAGGTATGAGTCAATCTCGACCGTCAATGTAATTAGATCTTAGCCGTTCATTGAGGGGAGCTTTAGCTATAAATAGAGGCCTCCCCTCCTCATTTGTACTCACTCCTTCACTTTGAGAAATCATAAGAGCATTCTTCTCTCAAAGCTTTATTATCTTCCTTCTTGTGCTAGTTCTCTTGTCTAGCTTCCGTCGAGGTTCTAAGCATCATTGCTTGGGATATTTTCAGGCTTACTTAGCCGCAATCACTAAGAAGGCGACTAAGGCCGCACGTTCCGAGGCGTCGAAGTTCCAAGGGCGTGACAAGTGGTATCAGAGCTAGTTTCGTGAGAATGGCACAATAAAACCCAGACGAGGCCCCAATAAGCGAGGTTACTCGTGTTACCATACCGAAGAAATGAGCAAACTCGAAGGATATGGTGGCCTCGTTCGAGCAAAGGGGGTCGGCAGATTGGAAGACCAATATAATGAAGTCCAAGAGACTCAAGACTCGGTCGAATCTCGCTTAGAGAAGGTGGAGTCCGTGGAGGATGTACTCCGTGAAGAAACCCAAGCATCATCAGCGAGTTAACGGAGAACGTAGACGAGCGTACCAGAGGCCTCGAGAGCATGTACTTGGCCATGAGAGCCGAAATAATGCAAGAGGTAAAGGAGCTCAAGAGCGAGCTGCTTGTCTACAAGGCGACCGTGTAGAATGGAGTGACTGGGGAGGCGCAAGCACCAAGACCCAGGATCGACGTCCCTAAACCGAAGGAGTACAAGGGGAGTCGAAATGCCCAAGATGTGGAGAATTTCATTTGGGGCATAGAGCAATTCTTCCGTGGCATGGGTATCAGAGATGATACCACCAAGGTAAATGTTGCTTCCAATTATCTTAACGATGTTGCTATGTTATGGTGGCGTCGTAGGTGTTCTGAGAGTACCAATCCAAAGGAAGCTTTCACAAGCCAACTGGAAATCATGGGAAGACGAATGATCGACCCAAAAAGCTCTCCTATCCTTGGGAGAAGAAAGGGGAATTAGCGTGCTTCAATTGTGGAGGAAATCATATGAAAAGAGATTGTCCTCAACTTGTGAAAGTTGTTGCCATCAAGGAGAATGATGGGGTAGAGAGTGAGACTCTCAAGCTTGGCTTCATCCTCAGCACCATGGAGGTCAAGAAGGGCCGCAAGAAGAAGGGATTGATGTACGTAGACATCACCATCGCAGGCCAAAAAGATGAGCGCACTGGTAGACACCGGTGCCTCAGAGTTGTTCATGTCCGAACAAATTGCCAAGAGACTTGGCCTTCATGTGGAAAAGGCAACGGGATCCATCAAAACCGTGAATGCCGAAGAAGTTTCAATTGCGGGGGTCGCAAAGGGAATCGAGCTAACCGTCAGAGGTTGGTCCGGAAAGGAAGCCATCAAGGTAATCCCTCTCGATGACTTCGACTTTGTTCTCGGGTTAAGTTTTTGGACCGAATAAATGCTTTCCCAGTGCCTTTTGCCGATTGCTTGTGCATCCTGGATCCAAAGCAACAATGCATTATTCCTGTGAGCCGAGGGCCCGGAATTGAGGCCAAGATGTTGTCCGTAATCCAATTCTCGAAGGCGGTGCGCAAGGAGGAACCGACCTTTTTAGCTACCTTGGTGTGTGTGACGAACCAACCACAACCAAGGAAGTTCCCGACATGGTAAGGCATGTCTTGGTAGAATTCAAGGATGTGATGTCTGCCGAATTACCCAAGAAGTTACCTCTAAAGAGGAAGGTGGATCACAAGATTGAGTTGGTGGAGAATGCAAAGCCACCCGCTCGGGCCCCTTACCGAATGGCTCCGCCCGAGTTAGAGGAGATGCGCAAACAATTGAAGGATCTCCTCGATGCCGGATACATCCGACCATCCAAGTCCCCCTATGGTGCACCGGTGCTATTTCAAAAGAAGCACGATGGTTCTCTACGGATGTGCATAGATTACTGAGCTTTAAATAAGCTCACAGTAAAGAACAAGTATCCCATTCCCCTCATTGCGGACTTGTTCGATCAGCTTGGTGGTGCAAAGTGGTTCACCAAGCTAGATTTACGATTGGGCTATTACCAAGTCAGGATAGCCGAAGGAGATGAACCGAAGACAGCTTGTGTGACCAGGTACGGTTCTTACGAATACCTTGTGATGCCCTTTGGCCTCACGAATGCTCCGGCCACCTTTTGCACATTGATGAACAAGGTACTACAACCCTTTCTAGATCATTTCATTGTAGTTTACCTTGATGATATTGTGGTGTACAGTAAGACCTTAGAGGAACACATTGAACACTTGAGAAGGGTGTTCCAAGTCTTACGAGAGAACAAGCTCTATGTTAAAGAAGAAAAGTGCTCGTTCGCTCAGAAGGAAGTGTCGTTCCTAGGCCATGTCGTTGGAGGAGGCAAGCTCCAGATGGACAAGGACAAGATTCGGGCAATTGACGAGTGGAATCCACCCACCAAGGTGACCGAGTTGCGAGCATTCTTGGGATTAACCAACTATTACAGACGATTCGTGAAGGGCTATTCCAAGATTGCCACGCCTTTGACCGAGCTACTCAAAAAGGACAAGGCGTGGGAATGGAGCACGAAATGTCAAGATGCTTTTGAAAAGCTCAAGGAGGCCATGGTGAATGAGCCTGTGTTGGTGCTGCCAGACTACACCAAGCCTTTTGTAGTTTTCACCGATGCATCCGATGTTGCCATTGGTGGAGTCCTCATGCAAGAGGGACATCCGGTTGTATACGAAAGCCGGAAGCTCAATGAGACCGAGAGGTGGTACTCGGTTCATGAAAAGGAGATGACAGCAGTTGTACACTGCTTGCGTATATGGCGATATTACTTGCTCGGGTCCAAGTTCGTGGTGTTCACAGACAATGTTGCCAATAGTTACTTCCTCACCCAAAAGAAGCTTTCTCCCGAGCAAGCACGTTGGCAAGAGTTTCTTGCCGAGTTTGACTTTTCCTTAGAGTACAAGCCCGGAAAGGTTAATTGTGTTGCAGATGGCTTAAGCCGGAGGTATTCCATCGAAACTGTGGAAGGTACTCTCCTCGAGAGGATCAAAGAAGGATTACCCCATGATCCTGTGGCCGAACGAATCATCGAGGGAGCCAAGGAGGGGCGAACCCGGGAGTTTTGGCTCGAAGGAGAATTACTTTACCATCGAGGCCATCGTCTCTTTGTGCCTCGATATGGGAAGTTACACAAGGAGCTCATGAAGGAATGCCATGATTCCAAGTGGGCGGGACATCCGAGGGTTGATCGGACTTTGGCTTTACTTTCGGAGCAATACTATTGGCCGCACATGGCTGAAGATGTACAGGCCTATGTGAAGACTTGTCTTGTGTGCCAGCAAGACAAAATCGAGGCAAAGAAACTGGCGGGACTACTGCAACCATTGCCTATTCCGGAGCTCCCATGGGAAAGTATTTCCATGGATTTTATAATTGGTTTGCCCAAAATTGATGGACTTTCAAGTATAATGGTTGTGGTTGACAGGTTTTCAAAGTATACGACGTTCATACCGGCATCTAAAGTTTGTCCAGCCGTGGAGGCGGCTCGACTTTTCCTCAAGCATGTGGTGAAGTATTGGGGGATGCCAAAAACCATCATCAGTGACCGGGACACGCAGTTCACATGGAGGTTCTGGACGGAGTTGTTCAAACTAATGGGATCGAGCTTGAACTTTTCCACTGCAGTTCATCCACAAATCGATGGGCAAACTGAGCGAGTGAATGCTCTGTTAGAGATCTATCTGAGGCACTACGTGAGTGCCAACCAATGAGACTGGCCAAAGTCCGTTCGAGATCGTGACCGGGCAACAACCGTTGACACCCAACACGGTTGTTACCAAATATGAGGGGCCCAATCCATCAGCACACAACGTTGCCAAGGAGTGGAACGAGCAACACGACTTAGCCCGAGCTTGTTTGCACAAGGCGGAAAAGCGGACCAAGAAGTGGGTTGACCGAAAGCGAAGTGACGTGAACTTTGAAGTTGGCGACCTTGTCCTTGCAAAGTTGGCCCACGTTTTGCGCCATGCGGGACGTGCACAAGGGGCTTGTGCGAAGATACGAGGGTCATTTCCTAGTCGTGAAGCGGGTAGGCACCATGGCCTACAAATTGGAGTTGCCTCCAACCATTCTAGCGTATCCCGTCATCCATGTTAGCCTACTCAAACCGTACCATCAGGATACCGAGGATCCAGATCGAGGCAAGTTACACCGAGCGCCAGTCGGAGTAGCGGTCTTCTATGACAAGGAGATCCAAGATATATAGGCGGAGAGAGTTATTAGACGACCAGGACACCGCCCGAGGCATGAGTACTTCGTTTTGTGGAAGGGACAACCCGAGTGCGAAGGGAGCTGGGAGCATGCCGAGGGACTTTGGCAATTCAAAACCCGAATAGACCAATTTCATGCCAAACGAGTGACGAGGGCGTCACCGGAACGAGTGGGGGAGAATGTCACGGACCACGAGCCCACAACCGAGGTTAGCCCATGAAGAGCAGCCCAAGTGGTGTTTTGGACCTTCTAGAAGCCACAAAGACTTAGGTGGCATTTAAATATGTATAGATAATGCCCACTTGTTTTTGGTAGGTATGAGTCAATCTCGACCGTCAATGTAATTAGATCTTAGCCGCTCATTGAGGGGAGCTTTAGCTATAAATAGAGGCCTCCCCTCCTCATTTGTACTCATTCCTTCACTTTGAGAAATCATAAGAGCATTATTCTCTCAAAGCTTTCTTATCTTCCTTCTTGTGCTAGTTCTATTGTCTAGCTTCCGTCGAGGTTCTAAGCATCCTTGCTTGGGATATTTTTAGGCGTACTTATCCGCAATCACTAAGAAGGCGACTAAGGCCGCACATTCCGAGGCGTCGAAGTTCCAAGGGCGTGACAATAGCATGTGACTATGGCATTCCAAGAAATCTCATTTTTCTCATGGATTTCTAAAAAAAAACATTGGCATCATCAATGCTACAACGCTTTGCATACACTGTTAAAAATCGGAGAGAAATGATTGGGTATATATTCTTTTTTTCTCGCTCCCTTAGTACTTACGAATAATTAAAAAAATTAATAATTAATGGATTAATTTTTAAGTTCGAGTTGAGTCTTTCAACTCTACATAATATATGTATATTGCATATGAAATAATCAGGGTCGGTTCAATGAGTTTTAATGTCCTGGACGAGATAATAATTTTATGCTCCTATAATTGTATCGTATAATTGACAAAGCATAAATAATTAGCTTAAATAGTAATTATAATCAAGGCCCTAATTTTTATTGGATCTTCGTCGCCTACCCTAAGCCTTCCATCGACCGATCAGGTATTTTGGGCTAATTTTTTAGACCAAATATATATATACACACTATAAGTACTAGAAAACTGATGTCCCCTCAAATATGTTATCCTGAGCTAAGGCCCATTTGACACATGTATTGGGTCGGGCCTAGAAATAATATATAAAAATATGTATGTATCGTATATAGTTATAGAAAGTCGTTTAAAATGAAATCAGTTAGTATCATAACAATACAAATGTTTAAAGTTAAATTTAAACAGAAACTTAAACAATCCAATTCGACTTAAAAAAATTAAATAAAATTTGAATTATAAAATAAAACTCTTCAACTATTCAATCTAATCAAAACTCATCCCTACTTATCATACATTTATAAAAAATATTATTTTAGTCGATAATATTGTTTTAGTAAAAAAAAATGCAATATTTTAATAATATTGCCACTTTAATCCCTGTCCCGAAACCTAGAAATAGAAAATCGCAGGATCTCTCAAATCAAAAACCCTAAAACCTTCAACTTCAAATCCCTTAGCAAAATATGGCAATCGCGAGAACGGGCGTCTATGTCGACGATTATTTGGAGTGTAACAATCCCAAATTGCTTCGCTTTATCGCATCAAAATTTATTTATTTTTACTCTTTTTTTAATTTAATTGATTTCGAGCTTGAATTTCATGTTTGATTTGAAGTTTCGAAAATTTGTTCTTATTTCCATTAGACTCAAGCACCTTGCCAGCTGAGCTTCAAAGACTCTTCAATACAATCCGAGAACTCGATGAACGGTCCCAATGTAAGCCTATAATTTCTTTTGGTATTCAGAATGTAGGGTTTTGAATTGGGGTTTTTGATTAAGAATTACCTTTTTTTCTTCTTAAAAGCTATGATTAATCAAACGAGGCAGCAAACTAAGTATTGTTTAGGATTGGCGGCGAACAGAGGGAACGGGAATAGTTATATGAACAATAGTCATGAAGATGAGGAAATAATTGAAAAAATGAGGAAGGATATAGAGGCAAGTCAAGAAAATGCACTGAGTTTGTGCACGGAAAAAGTTTTGTTGGCTCGACAAGCTTATGATTTAGTAAGTTTCGATTGTTTGTTTGTTTTTGTTTTTCTTAATTTAGCTTGCATTGTTGATTATGTTATGTTGTTATTGAGGTTCCTTGTGGTATGACGGTGTAGAAAGCTATGGAATTGCTAATCTTGTGCACCATCTTTCAACTAGCATATATGAATACAAGTCCTTGTAGGTCACAAGCTCCAAGCAATTGTTTGTATGGCAGAGCATCCGAGTGTTTTTACTTTAGCCATCACTGTAATGTTGAAGATTGAAGAACACTAGAAATCTGATTCAAGCTAAGTTAAAGGCATTGTTTTGGAAGTAACTCAATTTGTCTGTGACTAACTAGATAATTTTCCTTGATGGCTTACCCTCTATAAGAAAGAGATTAGATTTTTGCATCTTGTGTTCAGCCACATTTCTGAATGTAATGTCATCTAAACCGAAACCATTGTTCTGGATTGGTTTTTATATGAAGCTTTGGAAACTGCCTGCATTATGTGAATCATATTAAATTAAAGATAACAAAATTATGAAACTTGTTTCAGATTGATAGCCATGTAAAACGTCTTGACGAGGATTTGACCTACTTTGCAGATGATCTAAAGCAAGGTACAGTAATTGCAATCAAATTTGAGCATTTTTTTTAGGGATAAAATTATTCCTCAAGTGATTATTTTGTCACCATGCTTTTTTCTTCCTCCAATTTATCAGAAGGAAAAATTCCACTGGATGAGCCTGCTATTCTCCCCCCGCTACCTATTGTTCCTCATAAGCTTGAGAAACGCAAGTTCTTTTATGGAACACCTCAATCAAAAAGGTTTGATTATAGGGATAGAGATTGGGATCGAGAGCGTGGTAGGGATTTTGAACTCATGCCTCCTCCAGGAAGCCATAAGAGATTTTGCTAGCCCTCTTGATGTTGATCAACCCATTGATCCAAATGAACCAACTTACTGTGTCTGCCATCAGGTTCCACATCTTTATTTTGTAGATATAACTGTTGATTTACATACTTTTTCATGGCTTAATTGGTTTTAAAGCTTTGGTTCAAAACTGAAGGATTGTTTTACAATTATTTAGGTGTCATTTGGAGATATGATTGCCTGTGACAATGAAAACGTGAGTTCCTTCCTCTCTTTCTTTTTCTTCTTCCCTTTTTTTTTTGGATGGTAACATTTGCCAGTAGCAATGTAGTATTGTATTTCTTTAATTGGCTTCTATATATTTCTCTGCTTTTAAAGTTTATCATATACATCACATATTAGTGTCAAAATAATGGATTGTGAGAAAGAATTAATGTATCCAAATATATATGTATATAATATGGGGTTTCAGTAGTGTGCATACGTTGTACAAACACATGTTGGGCTATAATGATGCTCTCAAAGCACCCCTATCACCCCAAAATTTTGATATCTATTTGCCCATCATGATTTGACACTGACTATTAACAATTTGGTTGGCACTTATTGTTTTAACGTTTCTATCCCTTCAGTGCCAAGGAGGTGAATGGTTCCATTATGCTTGTGTTGGGCTGACGCCGGAGACAAGATTCAAGGGAAAGTGGTACTGCCCAACCTGTAGGCTGCTTCCTCAATCCCAATAGAGACATATCTGTCTTGCATGATTTGAGATGTTTCAGTAAATTGCTCATTATCCTGTTTCAGCTACCTGTTCAGAACTTAGGAAGTAGTTAACTGTACAATCAACGGATATAGGTCTTGTGTTACAGAGCTTTGAACAATTAAATTTGATAAAACTTCAGATTCTTGAAAGTAAATGTGCAGAAATCTCAACTTTTGATGTATTGTATATGATCAGATGTTGCCAGAGCTTGATCTTTGTCCTCCCCTATGAGATTAGCCAATTTCCATAATCTTGATTATTAAAAGAATATGGAAGAGTCAAGAGACAACCAAATTCTCTCTTCTGTTAAGACCTCGTCGTTTATCGATCGATTTAATAACCCGATGTATTTTCTGTTGAAAATATAGTCTATCATTCTTGTTTCCAAGAGGGAATGAAAGCAAATGTTTTCTCTTTACATGATCAAGAAATGATGTGCTACTTTAGTTTATTCAGAGTTCGAGCAATTAGAATGTTATGTTTTCTTCACAGGCTTGGTAGCCATGAAAGTTCACTTAATGAATCATATGAAAGCATGGTTAATATGTTTTACATATTTGGATTGTGTAATTGTTGCCAGCCTCTCCACACCTCTCCTGGACCTAAGTTTATGGGTTTGAGCATAGCTGACTGGCCTACACATATGTAAGAATAGTCTCCATAGATTTCATGGCTTGAACCTGGGCTGAACAGATACATTTCATCAAATCCATCTCTTCCTACTGCAACTGAGTTTCTTCTGCCCTGTTCCATATATATATATAAAGAAGAAGAAGAAGAAGAAGAGGGAAAAAAACACTCATTTAGAAGAAAATTCATCACAATTAGCAATGTCAGCCCCATAAAAACCTAAATGAATTTACTAGAAATTTACCCTGTCAATGAGTGTAAAGAATCTAGGTGCACTGGTATATATCCTGCTGATTTGCTCATTTAATTGCTTATAGTCATCATCTTCTTCACCCTCCATTGTGTCTTCTCTAGCATCCTTCTGATTTCTTTGACCTAAGCCACTGAAAAACCTTTTAAGTCCCATTTGACCCCATAGTTGTCCAATGTCGGAATTGTTTTCCTCGTCGAGATTTGGGGGAATTATACCGAAATTGGACAAAAAGGGTGTCACAGTGAGAAAATTTGATCCTTCTAATCCGAGTGCATATGTTGCTTCTGGACTGCTAACTGTTAGATGGCTTATAATAGATCCGGTCCAGCGTAATGGTGTTGGTTTCGTGTTTGTGACTGAAATCTCTGAGGTTAAGACATCCTCTTGGAGTGTCACAACATATCTTGTTTCAACCATATTTTCTGAATCAGTGCTTACCAGTTCAACCTTAATAGAGTCATTTGAATTGCCTCTAACATCACGAAGAGCCCAAGTACTAGGTGACCATGAAATTTCATCATCATCTTCACAGTTAAGTGCTAAAGACACCCCTCCTTGTATCACAGCTTCACCTTCATCCCCCTCGGAAACTGACGTGTGCAGTAGCTCAACTGTGCCGCTGTGCCACATCGGAACCTTGTAAGATGTGATCAAACCACTTGGAAGCATCAAAGTAGCTCTGCTGCCATTATCCAATCCCATCTTGACAACACAAGTGTCACCAATGCCTTCAAAGGTGACACCATGGCCACTGAATTCTCCCTCCAGATAGTCCACATTGATTGGTTGGTAAGGAACCGAAGTCACATACGGAACCAAAAACTCTCTCCTGATATTGTTGTGTTGCAGAGATGTAGAAGGAAGGTAAGGATGATAAGATAACTGATGCTTAATTGGTCTTGCAGATGAAAAAGGAGTGAAGTTTGGTGAGAAAAGTGAACTGAAAGTCATGATTATAATCTTATTGGAACTAGTCTCAGTTGCAGGCTAGCGGCTAGGTGTGGATTTTCATTGATTTTACAACGAGAGAAAGAGGGTGGTCCCTTATCCTTGGATTTCCATTAGGATAATTCAAAAAAAATGTCTTTGGTGGGTTCTAAAGGACTGGAAAGCTAATTTTCCTTTTTGTTCTTTAGTGACAGAAATCACCATTTACTTATTACCTAAGTAAACAACCTTATCTTTTTCTATAGGTAGGAAATGAGCTTAGCACCTTTAGATTGATGCCTGGTTTTCTTGGTTCCAAGTTCATTTCCGAAATGTGCCCAAAACCAAACATTTAGAAAGCAAAACAACCTAGTTGGAGTCGATTTTCTTTCCTGTTACTTCTGATAGTTTCATCAAGTATGAAGCCGACAGACTCGAAAGCTAGGTGACTCGAATTCAGGTGCCATAGACGACTGTGTCCAACTCGGATATACTATTTTTTCTATAGAAAATCATATATACTAGATCTAGATATCAAATTCCAAAGCAGCTAGTAGCTAAGTCATGAAGTAATTTCAGTGCAAATCTCAGCAACCTCCATCTGTTTTATTATTGCAAGCACTAATGAATTGCAGTGACAGACAAAACTAATGGTTTCCCAACCAGTTAATTGAAAAGGAAGAACAATTTTAGAAAAAATGGAATCTATATATAATTATTACAAGTTGTCGTGCTCAATGACTTGTGCTCCTCTCCAATTTTCACCAGGTTTTATAACAACAGGCACCAGCATCGAAGCAGGGCCGGTGCAGATGAAGTAATCCTTCCCATACTTCTCTGCTAATGAACCAGGGCTTGATAAGTATATATCTTCAAACCCCATTCTTATTATCCTGAAGAAAAGTTCTCTACCCTGCAAAATGATCCAACGAATAAGTGAAACTTCATATATATATATATATATATATATATATATATATATATATATATATATCTGTATATTGAAATGGTGGAAATAGGAAAATAAAGGGTTTATTTTACCTGATCAAGAGTTTCATAGTTTGAAGGTGGTGTCTCAAAAAATGGCTTCTGCCTCTCTGGTGGTGGAGCAGCATAGACTCTACTGAGCTTATCCTTCAATATGGTGATTGGTACATCTTGTTTGGTCCAAACACCTGGTTTGTCTTCATTATCAGAACCGAACCATCCCGAAGACTCGGTTTTCATTGTTTCGGATGGGGATAAGAGCTCCAACGGCGAAGACAACGGCGGATGTGAGCAGTAAGAGCAGCCTCGGAGTCCGTTAATTGCTGTGCGACTTCTTTTCTTGAAGTTCAAATGGCTAAGTATGGCACTAGTTAACTCACATCTTTGCGGCCATTGTTCTTCACAATGACTGCTGTTGCTATGCTTAATGGATAAAGAGAGACGACATAACTGATATCTAGAGTCCCAGCAATACAGCTCAACTCAACCTGTTCATGCATTATATGAGCACGAACCGATCATGAACGGTCTTAAACACAAATTAACAATCACGAACATATCAGGTTCATTCAAACTCGGCTTGTTTACAGCTCTAAACAAAATCCCATAATTATCTAATAACAGCTAACAAATAGGGTAGGATACAGACTTGTAAACTATATGAACTCGGCTTAGTATATATATGCCTGCAAGTGAGAAAATACCTGAAGAGCATCAATGGCATCATTATCAGCATCCTTTACAGTCCACTCATAACCAGATAGAAGCGACCCTTTCTAACTTTTTTCGGTCGCATCATTGATAACCAAACCAATCCCTCCTTTGGACTTGGTAGGGTCTATTCCACCAGCAGGGACTGTGTAAAGAATCTCCTCTAAGCCTTCTTCTTTCCAGTATACCTTAGGCTTGTAAGAAGTGACATGAGCATCAGGGATTCTTAGTCTCAGTGAGCTTCCATTTCTTACTGTCAGCTCGACAAATGGAACGTTGTTGTACTCCGAGAATTTGATGCCTTTGCGACCGAATTTTTCGTCGAGAGCTTCTGGAGAGGAAAGGGTAGTTGAAGTAGGAGTTGCAGGAGAAGAAGTAGTTCTGATTATGTTTGGTTTTGGAAGAGAGAAAGAAAGAAGGGAAGCCATTGTTGGAAGGAAGAAACTCTGTTGGCTTCCACTCAGTGTACTAACAAAGCTGGTAGGCTCATCCTTTAGCAATTGTTTTGTTTGGACATGCTTTTTTGGCCTTCCATTTTCACATATTTGCACTATTGATTTAGCAATTATTGATTTATTTTAACTCAATTAATATTTTTATACGAAGTTTTCATAATAAACCTCAGTTTGAAAACTGCTCAGTTTTCCCCCAACAGTTAGAAAAAGGATGGATTGAAAGTTTGCTTTGATTATTTCAGTTTTTAGCAAATTTTTATGTTTCTTTTATTTGGCGTGTATAAAACATTTCCAGTAAAAGATGGAATTAATGAGAATTCGGATCTAACAAAATGTTAATGGCCAAAGGTGACAACATTCATCAGATTTACTAATGGAAAAAATTACAGAAATGATAAACACAACACAGAACCATAAACATTTTCAAAATAAAACCAAAACTTGGTTTCAAAGTGTTTGAAGCATCTCAAAAGATGCCTAACAAAATCCCAAACAACCCTCGGTGACATACGAGAGAAAGGTAATCGACTGATGATGTTGCAGGAGACTTTGCTTAGTCCTCATCCATCCCTGCAGGCTGCTCTCTCCTTCCTGGACCTCCAGCTGGTTTAGCCATTATAATCTACAAAATTGACGGAATGGTAAGCTTGGTGAACGGAAATAGTATAAACCCATATATATATTCAAGCCCTGTTTCGAGTTAATTACCTGATCTACCCGTAGAACAGTGCAGGCAGCATCAGCAGCGTATTTGAGAGCGAAAAACCTGTCGAAAGAAGAAAGAAACACAAGAAAGAAGAGAGATGTCGTACTCTCAGTGTGTCTGTATGAGGAAGAACTCATGAGTCAGAAAAGTCGAAAAATATCAGAATGTTACTTGGTGACATAAAGATCCCAAATATTGAGGGTTGACACATCCTTGCAAACACCATCTTCAGATTCGCCTCCCCCCAAATCGATGCCCACTTTGGTATTTCCTGATGCATGTTTTTCATACAGCTTAGATATGATATCCATTGGATTGAGTCCAGCATTCTCTGCCAGAGTTCTAGGTACCATTTCAAAACTTTCAGCAAACTTAGCAATGGCATATTGATCCAATCTGCAAAATATCCAATTTCCCTATTAGCCTCCTCTAGTAATCCAAAATCTACTGTATATTCCAAAATTTATAGAAGATCCCCAACAGAGAGATAAAACATACATAATATATGCAAGATAAAAAATAAAAAAACGATGCTTCAAATCCCAAAAAATCCAGCAAAATATTCTATCATGCCATTCATGCAAGAGCAGCACATAATATGAGGATGATAATTTATAGTTAAAGAAGTAAAAGAAGAAATATAATAGATCACCCTGTTTCCTTAAAGGAGAATTCTTTCAATCTTCTAGCCAACTCAATTTCAGTAGCTGCGGCTCCAGGTACCATACGACTGTCCCTGCACATTGCCTGACAAAAATATGGCATTAAGAAAGTGATAATGATACTTCCCTTGAAGTTTACTCTATAAAGTTTACAGAGGAGAAACACTACAATACTCGGAAGAATACATAGAAACAAAGTAAATATTCGGCGACTATCACCTTATATGTATTCACTCCATCATCAACAGCTCTTTCGAGATCATCCAATATACTATCAGTACTTCCTCGTAGAAGCACAGTGGCAATCTTGTTACCACCTTCTTCGCTTCTCACAACAGTGACCTACAATCAATAGATGATACAAAACAAAATGAACAAAGGACAAGAAACCAAATACAAGTAAAAGCAAACTCCTCAAACATACCCGAGAACCACCGATTTCCTCAACTGAAATTGAATCAATAAATCCCAAATCATCAGCCTTTGGTTGGCTGAGTTTCAACTGTCAAAAGAATTAAAAGCTCATTAGATTGCAAACAAAAGACATTATCTTTTTTCCTTTCTTTTAAAATAATCTAGATAGAATGCTCACAAGAGCAGAAGTTCCTGTTGTGCGACAAAAACGCCTCAGTTCAAATTTCGAGCTGATTTTCAAGACCATTAACCTGCAAGAAAAGGATCCAAACTAGACATGTTAAACAAGGATGCAAAAGCTACAAAAGTAAGATGTTTTTTTAATCCAAGAGAGTCCAATCTATCAAACACTTGTCATAAGTATCAATCGACTACATAGAACATGCATATATCCAAAATTAATCAGAAAAAAGGAGCAGAATTAAAATATGAAAAGAAAACTTCATATACTTGTAACGTTCACAGAAATGCAATGCCATTTCACCAACAGGTCCTCCACTGACAATAACTTCAGCACCAGAATCAGCAACTGCTTTGATTAGCTCCTCAACCCTAGCTTCTTCAGTTTTAGCATAATTCTCTAGCTGAAAGATAAGAAACCTTCCACATTAGACGTATTTGACCAATGAAAACCCCCAATTCCATTTACTTATCAGCACAGAGTTGGACCTAAGACAAAAATATGTATATTATTCTCACAAATTACCTGCTCAGCAGAGTGAATCAATACAGTCCCTTTTGTTTCAGTGGCAGATGTATCAACGCCACTAGCAAAAACAACCACCTATTACAAAGTGAACACGACACAAATCCATAAGCCGGAATTCAATAAGACTTATCTTTACCAATTGAAGATTATAGTCCAACTGTTATAGATATTAATTAATCAACCAGGAATGGAAAGGAGAAAAATGATTGTGTACCTTTGCCTTCTCCCCATGCTTTATACTTCCCACAGCGTCGCCTTTTAAAACCATCCCACGAACAATTGTACAATTATGCAGACCTCCTCCAACAAGCTTTGTGACTCGGACATTATCAACATCAAAGTTTGCAGGGTTCTTGGGGCAGACTTGGATGCATGCCTATGATGCAAAATAAATAAATAAAAAGTAACCATGCTATCCTTCAAAAGTTATAGCTAATAGACAAACGGATCAGTGATAGACAAGAGAAGAGGAATAAGTTGCAAGTTACATCAGCTATAAGAGAGCATA